TGGACTAACTGCCTGTATTCATCATTCGCATGTCAAAACTGCCCCCCTGGATGAAAGATGGGAGGTGCTTCCATCCTCAACGGACCCCTTAAAGCTAAGACTATTGCACCGTTCTCGGTCGTCGTCCTAATCTCCCTGATTCCTGCAACGACCCTCCGAAGGGGACCCCCTTTAACGCCCACCCATTACCGATGGGTCCTCACAAAGGGCTCGATGGGGCAATTTGTTAGTTCTGTAATTGGGGGCGGAACTACCGTTGCCAGCTTAACCCTAGAGTATGTCACCAGACAGCCCATAAGTTTTTCCCTAGACCTCTGCGTCCTCCTAGGAGAAAGCCTAAGTGTAAACAATATAGATAAAACCAAAAAGGGAGGGCGGGGGGGGGGGTAAAGGGAATGGGATGTGGCACAATAGAAGCTGAAAAACGGCTTCAGACTATGGGAATATATTTATGCCCCGGATCCACACCAGATAAGAGGTGGAATTGTAATGACTTACACAAGTTCTTCTGACCCTATTGGGGTTGTGAGTCGATCTCCACTATAACAGGATATATTGTAAACAGGGACTCTTTCATTTCATTCACCCGAGACCCTCCCCCAAACCCTCGCCACAACGGTTCTTGTAACCCACTTAAGATAACAGTCCTATATCCAGATGAGACGTGGGCTACAGGACGCACCTGGGGCCTCAGAATATATATGAATGGATGGGACAAGGGAAATATCTTTACCCTCCAGTGTGTAGCTCTGCCCAGACCTGAACATCCAGTAGGACCAGCGGCTGAGATCTTAATATCCCCAAAAACCATCCCCAGAGTCGAAATAGGCCTCCGCTCCCAGCTCTACTCCCAACCTACCCTCAACTCCTAGCTCTACTACTTCTATTCCTAACCTATTCACAGAAGCCAACCCAGACACAGAAGGTTTAGACCTTCTAAAGTTATTGTCATCCACGCACCACCTGCTTAACCAGACAAACCCAGACCTAGGTAAAGATTGCTGGGTATGCTTAAATCCACAGCCGCCGTTTTACGTAGGCCTAGCAGCACAACCTGATATAGCCCCCTCAAAAACCTCATGTACTGAAAGACAATTCCACATAACCCTAGGGGATCTGGAGGGAGAAGGCAGATGTTTCCATTCCCCTAACTATAATCTTCCCAGCTCCCCTTACCGGAGTTATTGTAAGAACATCTCCATCCTAAGTTATAACCGGACAGGTTTTTATTACACTGGCCCAGACTCCACTTGGTTCGCCTGCACTTTTGGCCTCACCAACTGCATTTCCACCTACCAGTTCAGCAACTCCTCAAAACCCATTCTTTGTACCCCTGTGTATATACTGCCCCGGGTAAATGTTTATAGTGGACCCCAAGGTGAAACTCTCATAGCACCCGATACCAACATACGTTGGAAAAGGGACCCCATAATTATACCCTTATTAGTGGGACTTGGACTAGCAGGGTCTGCAGCTATGGGAATATCCTCCCTAGTCACTGGAGACCAGAATTTTAAAACCCTATCACACCAAATAGACGCAGACATTACTCATCTAAGAAACTCCATTTCCGAATTGATGGACCAGGTGGACTCCTTGGCTGAAATGGTATTACAAAATAGGAGAGGATTAGACCTATTGTTCTTAAAGGAAGGAGGACTATGTGCCGCACTCGGTGAACAATGTTGTTTCTACACAAACAATACAGGAATAATTCGAGATAGCCTTGCAATGGTAAAAAAAAAATTTAGAAATGAGGCAACGCCTTAGAGAAACTTCTCAAAATTGGTACCAGAAATTATTCTCTTGGTCCCCCTGGCTAACATCCCTACTCACTGGATTAGCAGGACCCTTGGTCCGAATGGCCCTAGGGTTAATATTTGGACCATGCCTTCTAAACATTCTCCTCAGATTTATCTGGGAAAGAATAAACTCGATAAAGTTAATGGTTCTGAGATCCAACTATGGGCCCCTATGCCAAGAAGAAGAAACCTATTAAAGATTTAATACATGTTAAAAGAACAGGGGGGAATGTGATATGGCTGACTTAGAGTTAGAACTTGAGCAATGCCATTTTGTACAAGACAAAGCTATTTTCCAAAAATAAGTTGTAACAACTGCCCCATTCTCCTCGCAATAACCGCTGACCTTGGCTTCTGTAAAGTTGCTTGCCTTTACTTATCAGTAACTGCCAGAAGTGCTTGCCTTTGCTTATCAGAAAGTGCTGAAAATTGCTTGCCCTGCATCCCCTCACCCTCTTGGTCCTAAATCCAGGATGTGGTTTTTCAGCTTAAAACCCCCTGGTCCCCCTGAGCCCAGGGCCACAGGTTGGAGAGACGTGAGTCCTCTGTGGTCGCCGGCATAATAAACGGCCCTGCAATTTGGCATACTTTTGTCTTGGTGTAAATATTTTAATCTCGAATTTCAATACCTCAAAGCTACCAATGACTTTCTTCACCGAATTGGAAAAAATCACCTTATACTTCATGTGGAACCAAAAAAGAGCCCACATACCCAAGACAAATCCTAAGCAAAAATAACAAAGCTGGAAGCATCATGCTACCTGACTTCAAACTATATTATAAGGCTACTGTAATCAAAACAGCATGGTATTGGTACCAAAACAGAGATCTAGACCAATGGAACAGAACAGGGGCCTCAGAAAGAACACTACACAACTACAACCATCTGATCTTTGACAAACCTGACAAAAACAAGCAAGGGAAAAAGGATTCCCTATTTAATAAATGGTGTTGGGAAAACTGGCTAGCCATATGCAGAAAGCTGAAACTAGATCCCTTCCTTACACCTTATACAAAAATTAACTCCAGATGGATTAAATTTTAAACATGAGACCTAACACCATAAAACTCTAGAAGAAAACCTAGGCAATACTATTCAGAACATGGGCATGGGCAAGGACTTAATGACTAAAACACCAGACGCAATGGCAACAAAAGCCAAAATAGACAAATGGAATGTAATTGAACTTAAGAGATTCTACACAACAAAAGAAACTATCAATAGAGTGAACCGACGACCAACAGAATGGGAAAAAAATTTTGCAATCTACCCATCTGACAAAGGGCTAATATTCAGAATCTATAGAGAACTTAAACAAATTTACAAGAAAAAAAACAACTCCATCAAAAGGTGGACAAAAGATATGAACAGACACTTTTCAAAAGAAGACATTTATGCAGCCAACAAACATATGAAAAAAAAAAGCTCATCACTGGTCATTAAGAAATGCAAATCAAAACCACATTGAAGTACCACCTCATGCCAGTTAGAATAGCAATCATTAAAAAATCGGAGACAGTAGAGGCTGGAGAGGATGTGGAGAAATAGGAATACTTTTACACTATTGGTGGGAGTGTAAATTAATTCAACCATTGGGGAAGACATTGTGGCAATTCCTCAAGGATCTAGAAATAGAAATACCATTTGACCCAGCAATCCCATTTCTGGGTATATACCCAAAGAATTATAAATCATTCTATTTTAAAGACACCTGCACACATATGTTCATTGTGGCACTATTCACAATAGTGAAGACTTGGAACCAACCCAAATGCCCATCAATGATAGACTAGATAAAGAAAATGTGGCACATATACACCATGAAATACTATGCAGCCATAAAAGGGTATATACCCAAAGAATTATGAATCATTCTATTTTAAAGACACCTGCACACATATGTTCATTGTGGCACTATTCACAATAGCGAAGACTTGGAACCAACCCAAATGCCCATCAATGATAGATTAGATAAAGAAAATGTGGCACATATACACCATGAGATACTATGCAGCCATAAAAAAGGGTGAGTTCATGTCCTTTGCAGGGTCATGGATGAAACTGGAAACCATCATTCTTAGCAAACTGACACAAGGACAGAAAACCAAACATGTTCCCACATGTTCTCACTCATAAGTGGTGTTGAACAATGAGAACACACAGACACAAGGTGGGAAGCGTCACACACCAGGGCCTGGGGGCCGGGGGGCTAGGGGAGCAATGGTAGGGTGCAGGGGGATTGGGGAGGGATAGCATTAGGAGAAATAACTAATGTAGATGACAGGGCGATGGATGCAGCAAACCACCACCATGGCACGTGTATACCTATGTAACTGATCTGCCCAATCTACACATATACCCCAGAACTTAAAGTATAATAAATAAATTTTTCTAAAAAAAGTTTTAAAACAGGTAAGGGCATAGGCTGGGAGCTGGGACATGTCTGTGAACACGTTCAGCACAGATATCTTGGCTAAAGTTCTGCAGTCCAGGAAGTAAAAATTGCTTGCTGAGAGGTCCTTTGTCTCAGTGCTAATTTTTCTTTGAGGCACCAAGCATCTGTTTCCAACACAAATGAAAAACAATAACTTCCTACATTGAAGGGGAAAAAGTAAGAGTCTTAGAATTTCCAAGGGAATCCTAGCATTGTAAAGGTCTTGAGGAAGGAGGCTGCAGGCTCAGCCAGAGGAAGAAAATGCACTTTGACAACTTATGCCACACTCATGTCAGATGACTCACATTTTAAAGAGATTCTTCTATAACACACATTCTTCCCAAAAATACTAGTGGACTTTCCTAAGCTGAGGGTTCAGAAAGTAGAATATAAGACATGAGCTATTTTTGGAAAACAGAGATTGAGAGGGAACTTTCCCATCGTAAAAACAAAATGGGAAGTGTAGGTCAAGACCCTTTTACATAGAGTGGTGGAGAGAAAATAGAACACTGGAAAGAGCGGCCTAGATGCATGCTGAGTGGCCTGTAGAGAAACTGCAGCCCTATTTTTATTTTCCTAAAGTCTCCAAATGGATTATTCAAAGAGCATCCTGTCTAAAGAATTGAGTCGGCCGGGTGCGGTGGCTCATGCCTTTAATCCTAGCACTTTGGGAGGCCGAGGTGGGTGAATCACCTGAGGTCAGGAGTTCAGGACCAGGCTGGCCATCATGGTGAAACCCCCATCTTAAAAAAAGAAAAAAGAATTGAGTCAAAGAAAATATTTATACTATCAGCCCGAGTCAATTGGAGGGGGAGAGAGGGTGGTACACACATTGGTAATTATTTTGCACCAGCAATGCTTATTTCAATGAGGGTATTTGGATGCTTGAATCCTCTTTTCTAACAGCCATTTTTGACCCCAAGAGGTGTGTGGGACATTTTCTTTTGAAATACCCTCCCTACATTTCACATATACTCAGTTTAGCTCTCAGAGAATGAGCTAAATCATATAGACAGTGAAGACTCTTATCTGAAGTAGTTCTTGGATGTAAAGGGGAAGAGGGTGACTTCAGCAGGCTTTGTACCAAAATCAAGCTGAAGTCTTGTTATGGGTCTTTGTTCCTCTTCTGTCTCCCTCTAGCTGCTGCCTGCCTCCTGCCTCTGTCCCTCAGGGCTCACTGACCCTGCACTCTGCCTTAGTTCTGGGCCTTGCTATGCAGTGGGCTTCTCACTTGTGGCAGTGTCATAGCAGCATATTGTGTTTATTGGGGTCCCCCCAGGGAACTGAAGATGACTGTATTGATGGATCTGTTTTTGGGACTCAGGAGAAAAGATGCACAGCCCCATCTTTTTGCAGAGCCTCATCTTCCAGGAGCCATGACTCAGAGGAAAAAGGTGCTTGGATTTTGTTATAGCCATTTACTTTGTGGAAACTAATGTTTACAATTTTATATAAAAGAGAATATGGATTAGGGCTCCCAACTGTTTACTTTTTAGCTTCCAACTGTATACTTTTATACATTTTTAAAACAAGATGCTTCATATTTTTTAATAGAGCTATGATAAGTTTCATGACACACGGTTGGTACTGTGAACTTGTTTTTCAGCTTTATTTTAGATTAAGGGGGCACATATGCAGGTTTGTTTGATGTGTGTATTGTGTGATGTTGATGTTTCAGGTATGAGTGATCTTGTCCCCAGGTACTGAACATAGTACTCAACAGTTAAGTTTTCAACACTTGCTTCTCCTCCCTTTCTCATCTACTAGTCCCCAGTGTCTATTATTGCCATTTGTCCATGGCAACAATATGTCCATGACTACCCAAAGCTTAGTTCCCACTTATATGTGAGAAAATTCAGTATTTGATTTTCTCTTTCTGCATAAATTTGTTTAGAATAATAGCCTTCAGCTGCTTCCATGTTATGGCAAAAAACATAATTTTATCCTTTTCGTGGCTGAATAGTATCCCATGGCATGTATGTACCATATTTCTAAAATCCAACCCAACACTGATAGGCTACTAGGTCGATTTCATGTCTTTGTTATTGCACCATGTGCTGCAATAAACAAGTAAGTGCATGTGTTTTTTTGGTAGAACTTTTCTCTGTTTTTTGTTTTTGAGATGGAGTCTCACTCTGTCAGCAGGCTGGAGTATAATGGCCCAATCTCGGCTTGCTGCAACCTCTGCCTCCTGGGTTCAAATGATTTTCCTGCCTCAGCCTCTTGAGTAGGTAGGGCTATAGGTGTGTACCACCACACCCAGCTAATTTTTGTATTTTTAGTAGAGACAGGATTTCACCATGTTGGCCAGGATGGTCTCGATCTCCTGACCTCGTGATCCGCCCACCTCAGCCTTGCAAAGTGCTGGGATTACAGGCATGAGCCACCATACCCAGCCTTAGAATAATTTTTTTAAGATAAATACCCAGTAATGGGATTGCAGGGTAAAACGGTAGTTCTAAGTTCTTTGACAAATCTTCAAACTGCTTTCCACATGGCTGAACTGATTTACATTCCTACCAGGAGTGCATAAGTGTTCTGTTTTTCCCGCAGTCTCATCAGCAGGTCTTTTGTTGACTTTTTAACAAATATTTACTCTGACTAGTGTAAGATGATATCTCACTGTGGTTTTGATTTGCATTGCTCTGATTATTCATGATGTGGAGCATATTTTCACATTTGTTGGTGCTTGAAAGTCCTCTTTGGATATGTATCTGTTCATGTTTTTGCTCATTTTTAAATAGGCTTATCTGTTTTCTGCTTGTTTATATTTCTTACATATTCCAGAAATTAGCCTTTCTCAGATCTATAGCTTGCAAATATTTTCTTTCATTCTATAGATTTTCTGTTTATTCTGTTCATAGTTTCTTTTGCTGTGCAGAAGCTTTTTGGTTTAATTAAGCCCTACTTGTCAATGTTTGTTTTCCCAGAAATTGCTTTTGGGGACTTAGCCAAAAATTATTTCTCAAGGCGAATATCCAGAAATACATTTCCTAGGTGTTCTTGTAGAATTATTTTAGTTCAAGGTCTCAAATTTAAATCCTTAATTGATCTTGTGTTAAGTTTAGTATACGGCCAAAGGTATAGGTCTAGTTTTACTCTTCTGCATATGAGTACCTAGTTTTCTCAGCACCAGAATAGGGAGTTTTTCTCTTTTGCTTATTTTGCCAGCTTAGTTAAAAATTAGATGGCTGTAGGTGTGCAGGTCTATTTTGGAGTGTTGTATTCTGTTCTAGTGGTCTGTGTGTCTGTTTTTGTACCAGTATCATGCTGTTTTGGTTACTACAGCCTTATAGTATTTTGGAAGGTGGACAGAGTGATGTTTCTGGCTTTCGGACAGAGTTGATTTTCAGTCCCAGCCAACTGCTTAGTAGCTATGGGACAGTTATATAAACCACATCTGCAAGAAAAGGCATAATAAAATTGATTGCATAATTGACAATATTTTTTGGCCAGGCACAGTGGCTGCAATCTCAGCACTTTGGGAGGCCAAGATGGGGGGATCACCTGAGGTCAGGCGTTTGAGACCAGCCTGGCCAACATGGGGAAAGATTGTCTCTACCAAAAATATAAAAAATTAACCAGGCATGGTGGCATGCACCTGTAAACTCAGCTATTCCAAAGGCTGAGGCAGGAGAATCACTTGAACCTGGGAGGTGGAGGTTGCAGTGACCCAAGGTAGACAAATTTTTAAAAATTTCTTCTTGTATTCATGCCCTTGGCAATGGCTTTTATAGTAGTTCCAATCAAGAAACAGATTCAGCTTCCCAAACCTTGAATCTTTCTTGCCTTATTTGCACAGGCCAAAACTGTGCACATGACAGTGTGTCACTTTGGTACCTAGGTTCAAACAGTTTTAAATGCTTCTGTTTTCTTTTTCAGAACTCTTTCATCTCTGTGACAACAAGCCCATTTTAGCTTGCTGGAGGATACAATACCATAAGAAGAAAAGCCTAGGTGCCACACACTTAGTGAGCCAGACAGTTCACTCCCAGAAACAGAGCCACCTAATTCACCAGCAGCTGAACACTCATGCCTGACGGAGCCAAGCTGAGCTCAGAAGAACAGCCCTGCTGAGCACAGCCTAAATTTCTAGCCACCTCAATCATGAGCTAGTATGTTCTGGGACTGTTTGTTATGCAGTTATAGCCTACTAATGTATATACCTATTAAAGACAGGATGCCAGGACAGATTGATTACAAATAACCTGCAAATGCTTGGCACCCTATAAGTAATGATTTTTTCCCCTTTATTTAAAGTTAGATTTCTTGTAAAATGGTATCAAGTTATTCAGAAGTGAGTTAGGAGAATAGGGTGTGGAAGCAGGGAACTTAAGGCCAATTAGTGCTGACTTCCTAAACTAAAAAAAGGTCTGGGGGCAGAGAACCTAAGGCCAATTAAGGACAACTTCCTACAGCTAAACCAAAAGAAAAAAAATCCCATCTCCCCACACCAGAGTGGCCTAGGATTAAAGGTTACTGTCGCTACAACCCTCCCCCTTCCACCAATTCTGATAGAAAAGGAGAATGCCTTGGAGTGGCCGTGGGCCAAGCACAGGCCATGCCTTCATCTGCATAGGGTGGCATTTCACCTCATTCTTTAATGAGCTAAGGACCAAATCCTTCATGCAGATAAGGGGTAGCTGATAGGGACCTCAAAAGGAATACTTAAAACCAATAAAACATTGTAACCAGATCATTAAGCCATTTGGTCTAGCCTAGGCCAACCCTGTGGAGTGTTTTCTCACTTCGATACATTTCTACTTTTTCTGCTTCCTTCCTGTGTTTTATTCCTTTGTTACTTTGTTCATTTTTCAATTCTTTGTTCAAAATGCCAAGGACCTGGACAACTCACATTCAAGGCTTCCTTCTGGGAACAGAAGTGCAGGTAGATGTGGATGCAGGTGATTGGTGGTTAAACTCACACAGTGCCCCACACCACCGGAGAAAAACACATAGTTATAGCCTGACAATTAGATCCAAAGATAAACAGCAAAATAAGAAGTTTGCCTTTAATCTATTCCCTCGGCATCTAAACTCTGGAGGCCAAGGCTGTGAAGAGATCTGAAGACATAGTGTTCTCTCCTCCTGTGGCCCCATCATTCTTTGTTTACTGTCTGATATTTGAAAGGAAGATGAACCCCTGAGAGAGGAGGGAGTCAGGGGCTGGTTAGGCAGATAGAGAAGGAGGGTCTTTGGAAAGGAAAAACACCGGCGGGACTGCATCTGCACCCGTCCCTGTAGCTAGCGGCATGAAATGTGGTTAAGAACTTTCCTATGCCAGGATGTTGCTCAGAAGGGACTACTTCAACTGAGGTTCAGGCACAATAAATCAACCTAAGTATCCTAAACTTGACCCAGCTTATTAGACTATCATTCACATGACATTAGCCTTGTTGTTTTAGCAGCACCCCGCCCCCATTCCTCCTTTTTCCAAGTTTTTGCTTAGGCATTCATGGGTAATAGCCAAGATGGAATCACTGTGGCCAACTCCAGGCATGCTCAGATGCAACACTCTTAGTGGGGAACTTTACCGCCCACATTTGGACAGAACCCACAGAAGGCTTCCTTTCTCTTGCCCCATAAAAGACCCAGAACTCAGCTGGGCAAGGTAGCTCACACCTGTAATCCTAACACTTTGGGAAACGGAGGCAGGCAGGTCACCTGAGTTCAGGAGTTCAAGACCAGCCTGGCCAAAAACATGGCAAACCTCATCTCTACAAAAATACAAAAATTAGCCAGGCATGATGGCAGGTGCCTGTAATCCCAGCTACTTGGGAGGCTGAGGAAGGAGAATCACTTGAACTGGGGAGGCGGAGGTTGCAGTGAGCCAAGATCAGGCCTGGGTGACAGAGCAAGACTGTCTCAAAAAACAAAACAAAACAAAAAACAGAAAATCCCCAAAAAACCAGAACTCAGCCCCATTTCTGGCAACCTGCTTTCAGGTCCCCTCTTGCTGCTGAGAGCTTTCCTTTCTTGGTCATGGACAAGAGCCTGGATGTGGCTGAACTGACGAGACCACCACACCTCCACCAAACAGCAACTGGGAGACTGTGGTCTTCAAGTGGCTGCTCTCAGCTTGCAGCCACTGTTCTCTCTAGGGGCACTGTCCCACCCACCCTTGAGCCTGAGGAGAAAAGTTGGTAGAGAGGCTGCTCCCTCACTTCCAGCAGCAAAGAGGTATTCAGGCCCTCACCTCCCTGAGGTCACAGCCCTCACGGCTGCACTCACTATGGCAGCCACCTGACATATGCAGCTACTGGGTACCTGCAATGTGGCTGGTTTTAAGTAAAATGTGCTGCAAACATAAAATACGCAGTGAGTAAAGAGTAATTAGATCAAAAATATACTTTATTTCTAATTATATATTGATCACATATTAAAAAAATAATATATTGGATACAGTAGGTTAAAATTATCACAAATAATTTCACTTGTTTCTTTTTATTATTTTTGATGTGGCTAATAAAAAGTTAAAAATTCACAAATAGCTAACATTTTACTTTTTTAGAGGATTACTTCCTTCTTAAAAATCTCAGGTGTCCTACTCAAAAGACCAGAGGCAAAAAAGTTTATAAAACACTAAAATAATTGTCATTATATGGCTGCCATTTGTGAACAAGTGGGTGTGTACATGCGTGCATGTGCGTGCATGCATGTGTGCGTGTGCACAAGTGTGCATGTGTGCACGTGCCCGTGTGCGCGCGTGTTGTGTGCGCGTGCGTGTGTGCGTGCACGTGTGTGCGCACAATTTATATTATAAATGGACTTAACCTTACACACCACAAGGTTAAAAAATGACCATAGGCTGTGCCAAGCCAAACACTGATAAAACCCGGCCTGGGCCAGGCTCGGTGGGTCACGCTTTTAATCCTAGCACTTTGGGAAGCCCAGGAGAGCAGATAACCTGAAGTCAGAAGTTCAAGACCAGCCTGGCCAACATCGTAAAACCCCATCTCTACTAAAAACACAAAAATTAGCCGGGCGTGGTGGCAGGCACCTGTAATCCCAGCTACTTGGGAGGCTGAGGCAGGACGGAGGCTGAGGCAGGACAATGGCTTAAACCCAGGGAGCGGAGGTTGCAGTGAGCAGAGATCGCGCCATTGCACTCCAACTTGGAGGAGAAGAGTCAGACTCCGCCTCAAAAAAAAAAAAAAAAAAAAAAATGCCTGAAAGCGCCGCGAGGCCGGAGCCTGTCCCTTTCTCCTCACTCAGTGCAGTGTATGGTTGCAATTTCTGTCACTCAAGGCCTGAGGGCGGGGATTGGAGTACTATCCAATCAGAGTGCTGGAGTGACAACTGCCCAATCAGGCGAGCAGCCAAAGAGGCGGGGGCGGCATCCGGGATCTGGCGGGGCCTTTGTCGCCTTAGACCTTCGCCGCCGTGTGTCCTCGGCTCCCGGAGGCCCCGGTGATTCTGCCACAGCCTCGGCCTCCGTCGCTCCGTGAGCTGCGGGCATCGGATGATTCGTAGCTAAGACTCCGCGACACCCTGAAGCCCAGAAATGGTGAGTGTGCGGGGCAGGGCGTCCCGAGGCTGGGGAGGCCTCATCGGAACCGGCGGGAAATGGCGGCGGCGGGACCGAGTCTGTGAGCCGAGTCCCGGCTGCCGCCGCTCAGCCGTCGGTCCTCAGTCCCCTCCGGTGAGGGACCCGGGCTCCCGTCGGTCCCCGCACGGCGGCTCTGGCCCAGCCTGCAGCCCTTGTTGTGCAGCTCTGCGCCCGCAGCCCGCACCTTCCCCGGGCTGTGAGGTGAGGAGGAGCTGATCGGGAAGACGCCGGCGCGGCGTGCGCGGTGCCTGCGTGGGAGGCGCTGTGGTCCGGGGTCCCGTCCCTACTGGACCCTGTTCGGAATTAGAGGGAGGCTCCGTGAAAACATGGAGTTCCTGTGAGCAAACGGGGACTCATGGATGGGACAGCCCCGGCCGTGGCTCGTGGTTTGGGGGCTGCCCGCGGGTCTTGAAGGAAAGACTTTTGTGAGGTGTGTGAGGGAGCGAAGCGAATCACCCGCCCGCCCGGACTTTCCCGCCGGTTCCCTCGCCCTGAGCGTCTCCTCCGCTTGGCGTTCCTGAGGGGCATCTTTTAGAATACACCGGCGGAGGTGCGGCCAGCGCTTCGCTGAGTTCTGAGTAGTTCTGCCACGTGATTGAACCTGAGGAGGGTGGGGGCGCCCTTGGTTTGTAGGCGGGCGTTCAGAAATGAAGACGGGTGTCCAGAGGCAGGGACTGGCGTCTGCGGGGTGCAGCTGCGGGGAGAACGCTGAGCTTGTGTGGTCGGCGCTGACTCTGGGTGGTGTCGTTAGTGAGTTGCTGGACGTCCCGTTGGGGCTGGAGTGTTGACTGGTGTTCAGCAAACTGAACGTTTTCTCTCAGAAGAAAGACATGGCTGAGTCTGCGCTGGAGGGAGATGCCGGGTGTCCGCTGGAAACCCTGCCGGGTTCTGCACATGCGCTGTCCCACTGGGCACTGTCCTGTTCCTCCAGGTCTCCCCCCCCCCGGGGAGAGAGGGGACTGGGAACTTAGAGGAAAGGAGTTCTGAGAATTATCCCTTCCCTGCACCCTGCTGCCAGTCCTGTCCAAATGTTAACCCACTCCTGAGCACGCCCACTGGGAATTTGCACGGCCACACCCTTCCCAGGACAGTGTTCTACTCTCAGGAATTGTGCTCATGGCAGCTTTGCACTTAGAATATTCTGCCAAAAACACACGCAGTGCCCAGAAGTTTCCTGGCTCATCTCAACCCCAGACACTGGATCTGTAGCAGGAGCCTGTTTCCTTTACCCACCCATGCTTCTGGACCACCTGATCCTAATGTCTTCTGCCTTTATGGACACACAAATCAGTCAGAGCATAGCCCTGCCTGGGCCTGTACCTGTATCACAAACCAGTGCTTTAGTCAGTCCTGTCCTGCCCCCACCCATGTCTCTTGATAGCTCCTTTCTCTCTTCCTATTTTAACTTGCCCACAAATCGTCTTCCCTGTGCCCACAGTGTGTCTAAGTTCATCCCTTACATGCAAGTGTTTTCTTTTTTCTTTTCTTTTTTTTTTTTTTGAGATGGAGTTAAACTCTTGTCACCCAGGCTGGAGTGCATGATCTTCGCTCACTGCAACCGCTGCCTTCCCAGGCTAAGTGATTCTCCTGCCTCAGCTTCCCCTGTAGCTGGGATTACAGGTACCTGCTACCACTACTGGCTGATTTTTTTTTCTTGTTTTTTTGTTTTTTAGTAGAGATGGGGTTTCCCCATGTTGGCCAGGCTGGCCTCAAACTGCTGACCTCAAGTGATCTGCCCACCTTGGCCTCCCAAAGTGTTAGGATTACAGGCGTGAGCCACCGTGCCCAGCCACGTGCAAGTATTTACACTGGTTTTTGAAATATATGTAAATCATTTTTATCAGTTGAATAGGTTATTTGTCTTTTCTGACTCAGACGTGTCTTTAGGACCTGGGAAGTATTGCTTTGAAATGTAAATAGCAAGAATATATACCCTATTCCATAATTTCTGTGGGAAGGTAGGAGGCTGCCTTCAGCAGGCACTTTGCTCCACATTGCAAATCTCCGTCCTGTCACGAAGATGTGGGAAGTTTATTTTTCCTTAGAATATTACCAATTAGAAAATTCAGGTGACCTCCCAAATTACTAGGTGAAGTTGTAATAAACTGTGTATGACAGATGGTGCTTTCAAGTCTTTTACTTGAGAACTAATGATGGTACTTTTTTCTGTGTTTGCAGTCTCTTAGTAAATTGGCTGTGATGCACATCACATTTTGATTTAATTATATAACAACATTTTATTGCTGTTCTATTATGGTGGAGAGTTTTTTTAGGATCGGAGTTTCTTTTTGTTTGTTTGTTTTGTTTTGTTTTTTGACAGTCTTGCTCTGTCATCATGCTGGAGGCCAGTGGTGCAATCTCAGCTACTGCAGTCTCCGCCCCCCAGGTTCAAGCAATTCTCTTGCCTCAGCCTCCTGAGTAGCTAGGGTTACAGGTGCATACCACTACACCCAGCTACTTTTTTTTTGTATTTTTAGTAGAGACGGAGTTTCACTATGTTGGCCAGGATGGTCTCAATCCCCTGGCCCCGTGATCTGCCCACCTTGGCCTCCCAAAGTGCTGGGATTACAGGCATGAACCACCATTCCTGGCCGATAATTTTTCTTTTAGTTATATTTTCCACACAAGGTCCAGAATTACCAGATGTTATACACAAAGTGCCCACCAGGCTTTACTTGAGAGAAAAATCTTTGTACTCAGGATTCCAGTCACAACACACAATTGTGCAACAAAGTACAGCAAAGTGCTTCTCAAAGCTGCAAATAAAATGGTCTCTCTTTTTGGGATCTGCAGTCCCTTGTAGAGCAGTTATACTTGATTTCTGCAAAAATAACTACAGGACAGCAATCTGTTATTTCACCTCTTTCACTGCTTCTGTCATCTTCAGATCTGACTCTGATTCAGAAATCGTGGGGCTGATAAACCCAGCAAGTATTATACATGTGCGTTAATTAAACTTGAAAACTTTAATTCTCTTCCTCCTCCCTTTGCTCAAATGCCTATAAATGTGCACAGCTCACCAGCCCTCCAAGACCTAAATGTACAGTTCCAAATTCTGAATTTAGGTCTTGGGATTTGAGAGAAGAAAAGATCTTTTTTTTTTTGAGATGGAGTTTCACTCTTGTCACTCAGGCTGGAGTGCAACGGCATGATCTTGGCTCACTGCAACTTCCGCCTCCTGGGTTCAAGCAATTCTCCAACCTCAGCCACCTGAGTAGCTGGGATTATAGGCGTGCGCCACCACACCCAGCTAATTTTTGTATTTTTAGTAGAGATGGGGTTTCACCATATTGAGCAGACTGGTCTCAAACTCCTGACCTTGTGATATGCCCGCCTTGGCCTCCCAAAGTGCTGGGGTTATTTTGAGAGAGTGTCTCTCTCTGTCACCAGCCTGGAGTGTAGCGGCACAATCTCGGCTCACTGCAATGCAACTCCTGCCTCCCAGGCTCAAGTGATTCTCCTGCCACAGCCACTGGGCTAGCTGGGACTACAGGCACCCACCACCACACCCAGCTAATTTTTCTATTTTTAGTAGAGACAGGGTTTCACCATATTGGCCAGGCTGGTCTCAAACTTCTGACCTTGTGATATACTCACCTCAGCCTCCCAAAGTGCTGGGATTACAGGCGTGAGCCACCGCACCTGGACCCAAAAAGAAACTTTATCTATGTTTTTTTAATTATCGAACCCAGAGATTTGTTAAAATGAGACCACAGTCATATACTGTTCTCCTCTTTGAACTATTTGTCTTTTGAAATTCCTTGCTATTGGCACAAGTGGCTATCAACCCAATAATGCCACACTGAACACTGTAACCCACACCCTATAGCTTAACAATGTATATAGCCAATCACTAACCAATGTTACTTCTGTAAACCAATAAAAATTTCTGACAACTTTCTATCAGTTCCCTCTCTGCCTTCCTTTTTGCCTTTACAAATATATTTGTGATTGGAGTGTATATTCAGGGCAGCTTTATGCTCTAGAGTTGCAATCTTCAAGCTTTGCCCGCCCCCCCCCCCCCCCCCCCCCCCCCCCCCCCCCCCAAAAAAAAAAAAACCAACTCTCTACTTATGTTTATCCTAGCTTTTCCTTTCAGGTCAAAATATTCTTTAGAATGTGTTGAAGGAGCCTCCATGAGAGGATCTCTCTGGTTTTACTCTGCTTGCAGTATCCCCTAAAAATGCAGAGGCACATTGATCCCACCTAGGATCTGGACATATAAGTTGGCCTCTGCCTAGGATTCCCAAGACTGTGGATTAAAGACATACAGAAAACTCACAGAACACTTTTTCTGCATAATGAGAGGTCAACATAGACATCTTAAGCCCCATTTTTAGAGTGGAGCCCTTTGAGTTTTCCAGGTCTTGTTCAGTGACCTGCTACAGCTGTGTGTGAGGCTTCTGATGTGAATAGAATCCTGTGGCAGAATCTGTTAAATGTAAACAAGCCTCTTAGCAGTGGGAAGTCAAACCCACAAAGTATCCAGAGCCATAATGACAACCATAATCACAAGTGTGCCTTCCTTCTGTATACTGTGTTGCAGAAATACAGTACTTTGTCCTTCGCCTTACCTCAGAGTTAGCTGATCAGGGACAGGGTTTATCACATGTGGACCCAGGATCTGCAAGTCCACCAGGGCAGCTCTATTTGCACCCTATAAAGTCAGCCCGAGTGTCTCCTCCCTGGATTACTATGGGGGCATTGCATTGACCAAAGGTCACTGGGGACACTCTTACTAGCATCTTTGAGTAATTGAGATATTTAAGGATGTCCTGTGCAGACTGGGGTCAGTCTGACAAGAAGGTCTAATTCTGCTCCCATTCCAGAGGAAGAGAAATGACTCATCCAGGGTTTGTTCTTCCCTCACAGAAAGAATCTCCTTGAATTGTACCCAGATAAGAATTGCTCCAGTTTTCTGGTTCTTCGGTGAAAAATGAGGAGATCTGGAGACTCAA